TTTTTCTGTCTTTTAGTATTTTTTTTTCGGGCTTGCGTTTTTAATAAGCGGTTGCCTGCCTTCTCCTTTCCATCTCCTGGCGCGGTTTTCAATTAGCCCGCTGCGGGCCCTAGGCCGGCCCATGGGCATGCGTAGGGTTTGGGTTTGGTTTTGGGTTCGGGTTCGGGCTTTGCACTTTAATTAATCGCCGTGTCTAACAAAATATGACAAGCGCCATAAATTAAAGAGTTAGCCCCTCCGCACTTGGTAGCTTGTCCTGATCTGGGGACACAGGCATCCCAGCTCCCCTTCTCTGGCGCTGGCTGCAGGTGTGCGCCTGGAAATTTGCGTGTGCGGACAGCTAAACGGCTACCGCACTTTAGGCCTCTCTGGGCTCTGGCTCTGGGCGCTTATAAATGAGAGATGTTTAACTAAGAGACACACTCGCACACTCGCACACTCGCAGACTCCGCGGAAAAAGTGGCAGAACCGCACATGCAATGGCCGCATCGAGAGCGTGGGTCTAGATGGGGCTCTGATTGGGACTTGGTTAACTCTGGCTGTGGGCAACATGCCGGGGCTGTATATGATGGGAAACCTTTCAAAGTTTTAAGAACATAACAGGTCTGCAGTGGCAGTCCAAAATTCAATTCCAATTCATCACGACATTAAATCCTTAGGGTTGCCACCATTTCAGACCGAAGAGAAAAAGACAATCATTTCCCTCATTTCCATTCGGCTAATCCAGAATCTTAACTACCAGAGAGAGAGCGAGAGGGAGCTCCCTTTATGTAATACAATTATATAATATAGCAATAAATTCCTTGAGCATCGCATATAAATTAAAAGCATACAAAACAAAAGGGTTACGCTTCCAGCAGTTTGCGGCCCAAAAAGATGTGGCAATGGCAATGGAAATGGGGGAAAGCGAATGGAAATGGGAAAAGGGATTGGGATGGGGATGGGGATGGGGATGGGGCAGGGGCAGTGGGTGCCACATAAGCCACAGCCACGGTGCATAACTCAAGGCGTCTGTGACATTTTTATGGCATCAAATATATATTTTATTCGTCGTGTGGTCAGAGCCCCAGAGGCGTCCAAGCAGACCAGACCCTTACAGAGATCCCTTTCAGCCCTCTGGAATACTTTCAGCTACGCTTCTGATCATAATATATTTTCTGGCGCCTTTGGGCAATTTACATTCTCTGTTTCGGCCCCCAAAGCCTCTGAACCTCTCCGAACGCCCCCGCGCACCTCAATGCAATTAAAACAAAAGGAAAAACGGGTACATTAATCCTTTTTACACAATATCCTGTATGATGGCGAGGGTGCTTGCCTTGGTTGGGGCGACGGGGCAGGAGTGCTGGGCTGGGCGGCCATTTTCTTTTGCCAGCTGCCATTTTTATGCTCGTTTTGTGTGCTTTTTATTGTCTCTTCTCTCTCTGGCTTTTTTGTAGCCTCTGCCACTGCTGTTGTTTGGCATTAAAAATGTTTTATGTTGTGTGCGATTTGAGCAACCTACTTTGCACATGCTCTCTCGCTAGGGCTGAGGGGGGGCGGCTATGCGGAGGGGGAGAATTTTGTTGAAAATATATTTTCTATATATGTATAAATTTAACAAGGATATGCGCTCGTTTGTTTGCGTAGAAAGGCTTAATTTGTTCAGGACTTTTTACATATACAAATACACACACACGCACACATTTAACGACTCCCAAATCGCCTTTGCATGTAGGTGTGTGTGTGTGTGTGTGTGTGGTGTGTGTGTGACTTTTGTCTTGGCTTTAACTGTTTTTATGGCGCATTGCGACTTTTTATGGCCTTGTCTTGCTCTACACTGCCCTGAAGGCGAGTCTTTTGGTTGGCCAAAGAGATTGCTTCTACTAAGAACCATCTGGGGGTAGTATTTTGTAGGGAAAACACATATTAAATATGTACCAATCATTTATATCTTACCAATATATGATTCAAAGCACTTTTTTGTCAAATATTGCACATAATTTCTCAGAAAATGCAGTCTAGTTTTAATACTGATAGTTTTTAGTCGAACTTTGGGCCAGTCTGTTGAGTATATTGTATAATGTACATAGATTCTTGCTTATAGATGTCGAAGGTCCAATCCACTTGAGGAGAATGGCATTACTCATAGAAGACACGAGCTCAAACTATAAGGAAATATTTCAACAATCCCCAGTCATAGTTTTTTCCAGTTCCCAGTTAAAATGTTCCTCCAAAGTTGCTAATTCTGTATATTGTTTTTTGAATGTTTCGAATAACTAGCTAAAAATTAGAGAGAGAGCATTCAGGCTTCGCTACGATGGCAGCCATTTCTGGTGTCTCGCTTCGCCTTTGCCTATTCTAATGTGTAGCGGCTCCTGCCTAGGCCATGCCCCCAACAAAGGACCCAAAACAAAAAAAAAGCCCACGAAAAGTATAAAGGATAATAATAAAACGGAGCCTTATCGCTGATGCCGATGCTCCTGCTGATGGGGAATGCTGCTGCTGCTCGCTCGCTGTTAGTCGTATAATAAAACAAATGGCAGTCAGCCCCATTTAATTGCTGGGCCATAAATGTGTGTGCCTGGCATATCCTTTGGCGAGGATGCCACCGAAAGTGATCCCCCAAGCCCCATACACCCACACACCCACACACCCACACACCCATACTCCATGCGGTGCGTGTATTACTTTTTATTATTATTAGTATTTAAATTTATTTGTTACTTTATGGCGTGCACGCTGATAAATCTGAGCAAGCTCGTTCTCCTTTTTAATGGCCAGCCCATAAAAGGTAAGCCCCGCAAGAATGAGGCAAATTATACAATCAAAGCAAGTTAAAAGTCCATTTAGCATTCGGCGATATGACATAATTGAGGGTAGTCCTCTCCAGCCAACCAAAACCCAAAACCCAAAACCCAATCCCCAAAACCCAATCGAAATCCCAGCATATGGAGTGACCATTTGAGGCGATGTCCTGTGGCTTTTGTTTTTGTCCGTTACTCGACGGCAATGCAATGCAATTAATGCCATTGCACAATTGTTTTTAGGGGTTCCATGTGTATTGAGACAATCCCCAGAAGAACTTCCCGTTGGAGGGTAAAGTTGTCTTTTTCGTAACATTTGGCACATTTGGTTTTATTACCCAATTGAGCAACTAATTTGTGGGGAGTGGAGTTCAACAATGCAAAACAAGTCAATTTGCGGTTGAATTGCAGTGTCTCTAAGGCCCTACCCCCACCCCTATATCTTCCTTAACCCTCTTGAATGCTGTGTCTAATGGGGAGTACAACCCTCGCCAGATGAACCTCATTATATTGTGGTCGGATTGAAGTCCTGCATTTGTTATGATATTTTGAGTAGTTTTTGCGGTGCCTCGATTTCAATTTGATTTGTGCGATGATTAATTCATGCTGGGCATAAGCCACACCTACTCAAGACTACCAGTTCCCCTACCAATTCCCCTACCCATTCCACTACCCATTCCCTTTCCCGATTCCCAATTCCCGATGATAAATGAACATTCTTTTCCCGATCTCTCTCTCCGCCTGGCGCTGGCCACAAAATGTGTGTGCGTGTGTGTGTTGATGCTTATCCGCGACATTCCTGCCGCCCAAAGTGTCATTGTTGTCGATCATTTTTATGTTGTGTGCCTCCACAATTTGATTGACAAGCCAGTCGGAGTCGGAGTCGACTCCGCTTCGACTGAGAGTTCATTTTACATGCAGCGATCATCTTTGGGCCCTCTCGTGTTTTTATTTGTCTACCTTTTATGATGATCATCGCTGGTCGGGACTCGCCCCGAAAGAGTTTACCATAAAATGCACATTAATCATTTAATAGTCCGCATAATGAACTTGGTTTTTTTCACCGGCCTGCTCTCGGCTGCTTGCCAAAAACCAAAACTTTTGGCACTCCAGGTCCACTCGATTGGGAGCCCTTTTCCTTTATTTTTTTTTGGCTGTGGGCTCTGGCTTTGGCACCTAATCCTGGCGCACAACTATGCCGTTTGCATTGTTCCACGCACAATGGACACAAAGGACATGTTTGCACTGATTATCAGATTAGGCCATTGTACGTACAAATTGATATTGTCATGTTTCAAGTGCCAGTTCCCAGTGCCCGAGCCAGAGGCAGTGCAGAACTCATTGAATGCTGTCGCCAGTGCCGATTAAGAGATTTTTATTTTCGCACTCGCCGCACTGCCAGCCACTGCCTGCCACTCCGAAACAATGGCCCAGTCGACGGGGCAGATTTGCAACATTTAGGCGAACTGCAACTGCAGTTTTGGTTTTGACGGAACAATCGCCGGACAATGAGCCATGAGTGGTTTTAACGCTGTGGTCCTCTCTCTCCTCCCCCCTCCCTCCCGGCCAGCTCTGGCCTAGTTTTCGGCTAGCCCTGAACCGATCATTAGCATAAAGCCACAACGGCGACAGGCAATCGTCTCGGGCTCCGTCTGCGGCTCTGCCTGTCTGTGCTGGGCGTTAGCCGAACCAATCCGAACCAATCCGAGCCAATCCGAGGAAGGATTAGCAGAAAATGTGCACATCATCATCGGTCCGGTTCGGACCGATCCTTTCTTCTCCTTCTCTGCTGATCTCGAGTTCGTTCTGTAGATTGCCGATCGGACAAGTGATCATATCGCAATCTCCGGCATTGATTCTTGGCCCGGAAAATGGGTCCAAGCCGAAAGCATATCGTATTTCCCTGGAAATCATTTCAACTGTAATCACTGGATTTGCCTATCAATGCAGCTGAATCGATCCGTATTGATGGAGGAGGTGTTGCACTGGCGGCTGCTGTCTCTGATCTCCGGCCAGCCGAATTGTCTACGACTGCAGATCGGATAGCAGCAGCGGGAAGATAGGCTAATCTTTTGGCACTCACAATTGTGGGGTTTCCTGAAAATGTTCTAGAAATCCAGTGTCCAAAGTGTTTTTGGCACTTGGCTATCTTGATTGCTGAAAATCTGTGGGATTTTAGGTCTTTGAGACATCACAGAACTTGATACGGATCTGATAAATTCTGTATTGAAACATGGTTCAAGTAGATCTATTAGAGATTTAACAATCGTTTGGATTTCAGGTGATTAGGAGAGATCCAAATAGTATATGGAAAAGGTGCGAGATCTGCCGACTGATCGTACGATTCCTGTCCTGTCTTTAGGGCTAATCTCGATCCACCACATGGGTAGTTACTTCAAGGACTCCTGCACTTTTGCCATTCTTGAAGAAATACGATACTCCCTTCATGTAACCCCGCGGCATTACAGACGGCCACTTGGACGTGTTGAGAAGAATGTCCTTTAGATAATACGTGCCCTTTGGTAACGGACATGGCGGTCCATCGACGGGAAAATCGATGTTCACTCCGACCTTGGCACTGTCCGCAAAGTACGGCAGATACATCTTGAATCCCTTGCAGGCGGGCGTCATGGGCATCGAGTAGGGAAGCTTCTTGTAGATGCCACTGCCACTCGTATCGACGTATGCCTCGGCGTAGAATGAATATTGATCATCGTCCATGTCTTCCAGTAAGCTGATTGTTCCATTCATCTTGCGGTCACGGCCTATGAGACGCACTTTGCTGACATCCCAGACTCCGTCGCTCAGCGAAATGAAGGACACCAAACGGGCATCGTAAGGCTTTAATAGGAAAAGCGTCTGTAGGATGCACAAGGATTATACCTTTAGGATTGTCTATATGCTCTTTCTGATACGTTACATAGGCTTCGGCAAATAGCAAAATGAAGACCGACAAAATCAACGCCGACATTGTTGACCTCCAAAGATTGAATTAGGAACTGAAAGAATCAGTTTAGTTTATCATGTTTTATAGGATTAATAAACAAACTAAACTTAATTACTTTGTTTTTCTGATGGTACAATGTATTCATTACTACTCGTATCTGTCCATCAAACACGGATACAAAACATGTAAAGCAAATGCTTATCCTAATAGAGCTCTCGTTTTTGTATATCTACATCATGTTTTCCCATGATGATTTCATTCTGGTTTAGAGCTTATTCAGAGCTTATTTCAACAACAGCCCTCCTTTAAATGGAATAGCTATATAGCATGGAAAAGCGGGAACTCGTAGGTATATTGCAAGAAAAATGTTTATAGAAATATGCCATAATCTCTGAAGATCAAACCACTAAAACTAAATCATAACTAATCTTGGATCCACATCAGAACGATCAGCAGTGGCCCCATCTGAGGCACTTTGGGCTACTAATATCTGCACTACTTTTACGGCTTATCCTTTGAATTGCTTGCGCCACTTGACTACACGCCTGTGCAGATCGAGGATCGGTGCTGCCGGGCCCCGATCGCTACATGATATCAGCTCATTCCATACCATAGCATACCCATCCCCGCCAGGCGAAAAGTGCCTTTCACAGCACAGCCCTTTGTTAGAGGGGATGAGCTCCTAGGCGCCGGGTCATAACTCTTAGCGGCAGCTATTTGTACATTTCATATACGACTACATCCATGGATAGTTGCTCTGGCAGAAGCGAGCAATAAAAATATTGGCCTGCCTTCGGCGCTGCGAGGACAAAGGAATTGCACCATAAAATGTATACACAATATGCACACGGCAGCCGAACGGACACGAACACAAAAGCCATGCAGATCCCCGGGCCCTTTGTCTCACAGGAAAATCTCCCAAAACTAGTGCAACACTTTTGGCTTATAGACAAAGCCAGCATGCGGAGAGTAGAGAGCGGAGACCAGAGAGCGGAGAGCAGGCCAGGCCAGGCCAGAACAGACCCAGCCAGGCCATTGTCTTCGCAGAAGTCGTTAGTGTGACAGGTTGGATTTGTTTTGTGTACGGTGCCTAAGTCTGTCATCATCATCAGCATAAGACTTGTCTGGCGCCAGCATTAGGGACAATATTTTCGACTAAATATTTCGTCACAGGCCCTGGCAAAGGGCGATGGACAGAGAGAGGTAGCTAGAGAGACGGCAGAAGACGGAGACGGAGGCTGGCAGGCCTCCTACGAGGGCGTAGGCGAAAGGCCCAAACGAATCGGACTGCTCTGCGGGCGTTTATTTTGGTAGATTTCTATTTGGCCCTGTCTCTGTTCCTGTCCCTGAACCCTGAACCCTGGCCTGGCTGCAGTTACATTGATGATTTATGCACTGGCTAGGGTTACAGGTGCAGGCGTATAACAGGACTACAGGTAGTCCATCGAATGTCCAATAGGAACTATAGTCTAAGTTTCTACTAATAAAGATCCGATTAATATCCTTGGATCCCAAAATATGGTCATTCCTGAATATGGTAACCTTTACTTTTTGGAAACCCCGAGGTACTCTAGCGGGCCTGTGTCTATCCTCCAGAAAGTATAGCCTTTCGGGATAGGACATTGATTAAAATTGATTAGAAAGTCCGTTTTAGCACGAAGCTTTCCACTATCGAAGTACTGACGTCAAAGGTAAAAGGAAAGGCATTACATATGTCGAAACGAAGAAGGTATGAATCCCGTTGTTGAGGCTCTCGCATAGGACATACATTCCATTTAGCTCTCGCGCTGGCCCCCCGAAATCTTCTTGGATATCCTACAACGGGGTCGTCAAAGACAGGATGAAACTTCACCTCATAAGATTTGAGTACCATCATCTAAAGAAGAAAAGTCAAAGCTATAAATTGTATACAATATATCTACATACATGTTTCCTAAAGATACATCTGAGATTTAATAGTTTTTGGATTAGTTCTATTCTATATAGAACTATCTTAGCCGAATATCTTTCTGAATTTCCATTCCCAGTAAAACCAATGCTTTCAATGATTTGGTTTTGTTCTGCAACACTCCACAGTCTCCAATATTGTTCAAATTTATTGATTCAAAAAAAACTTTTCCATATGGCCGGCAGTCGATGCATTGCTGCAAATAAAATTCATATACGAGGTGCATATGATCTCCGTGTCCTGGCATCCTGGCAGCCATGCCCTGGCATGTGCCCCTGGCTCGAAGTTGCAACATATTGGCGCACTTGAAGGGCCCGTGCCAGGGCACGCGCTTCGTGCCGCACTTGAACCCCGTACACCAAGTGGTGGTATAGGTCCTGCTCCCGCCACTGCTCCTGCTCCTGCTCCTGCTCCTGCTCCTGCGCCTGCTCCTTGGTGAACTCCTACCGGGTGGGCCGCTATGAAAAAAGTTTTCAACAATTGGGGGGATTTTTTTGTAGCAAAGAAGTCGCACGCTCTCTATTGGAATTTCCACAAAGGGAACACTTGAGATACTTTTATCATCCTCCTCCTTTTCTTCAGTCGAGGGGGTGGCTGGCAGTGGGCTGTGGTGGGGTGGAGAACAATGGTTCAAGTGCTGCTTGCAAAACAAAAAGCGTTTTAAGTTTTAATTACGCCAGACACAAAAGGTCGAGAGAATGAACTGGAGACCGAGCAGCAGCCAGAGGAGGAGGTTGCTGCGGAGAAGCAGCCCCGACACATGGTGGTCTGTTCAAGTGGAAATCGCAGCAAAGGGTAGGGCAGTACCTGAGGGACTACACATGAAGGGACTATAGTGACAGTAGGACCAATATTCGATCCATGGAACAGAGTGCTAACTGGCACCTTGCATGGGGCCTATCGGTTGCCAAATCTGAAAGTATTTCTCAACCCAGTCCGAATCAATTTCAAGCCCTCGCCCCAAACTCACTTACCTCCTCATCCCCACGTTTTTCCTTTTTTTTTGTGGGGTGCCATCAGCAACTATCTATCAAATACAGGCAGCCATAGCTTGTCAGTGATTAGATTTCCAAACTCGCTTTTAACAATGCTAGGAAAAGCAACAAAGAAAATTATAGGCAACACTTCCATTGGAATGGCTATGTAGTCGACTAGGGGAGTACCTAAGAAGGAGATCGAATCGTTTTTTAGTTGGTATATTATGGAGAGAGGGAGAGATTAGTATAACTAATATTACTGCTGGTACTGATTCCTTTATGATGTATGCTATATGCAACAGAGAGCCTTCATACCACACCCAGTGCTGCGAAATCAACATTCAACAGTTCAATTAATCCGTCATATACCCGAAATACTAATTGTTATCTTGAATTCCTTTGCTGCGACTAAACCTCTTGATCTCTTGATCTGAATTATGGCACTAGAACTGCTCGTAAGTATACCTCCTAATCCGGTAAGTAAGTGGTATATAAAATTGCTCAATTGCTCAACTGATTAGACTTTGTTTTCAATTTGTCTTTCAGCCTTTCAATTTGTGGAGTGGCGGAGAAGGTGCCACAGCGAAGACAACCTGACAGACACGCAGAACGAAAGAGAGGGGAGAGGGCCGTGGAGGGGGGTGGGGACTTTTGGGGCAGAGTTTTTAATCAAAATTGTACAGGAAATCAAAAATCAGTTTTCAAAAATAAAAATCACAGTTTCTTATCGTGATGTTGATTTGTTGCTGTCTCTTGATGGTTCTCCCTCCGTGTTGTGGTTGTTTTATATTTTTTGAGGTAGCGCTTTACCCCAATTGTTGGGCCCTTGGCGTGTAATTTGAGGCGAACGCAGAACGCTGAACGCTGAAAGCAAACGCAGTAGCTATGAAATCAATTATGCGATAAAGATTTGACAGCACAACGCACTGCTGCTGGAGCTGCTGGCAGTCGATAATTAATTTTAACGCCTTATCGCAATTGAAGGTGCGCCCCTGTGGGGCTCCGAGATAGTTGCTCGCCGATAGCCCGATTTGATTGAAGTCTGTCTAAAGACGTTTTTGGTGGGTGCCTGTCTGGGTCTCTGTGTCTCTGTGTCTCTAATCTGTGACACAATTGGTAAAAATTATGAGTGTGCCTATGAATTTATTAAGGTTTTTCTGTCCACATTGGGGATGGGAATATGAATGGTTAGGGGAATGCCCAGAGAGGTCGAGATGGAGATGGAGATGCTTTCCCATGATATGCAAACGAACTCAATTATTTATTTTATCACAAATGATTTTGCTTATCAAATCTAGCAATCGCTTTTGCTTCTCTCTCTCTCTCTCTCTCTCGCTCGTACGAGTATAGGAGTATACGGGGAAGAAGGTAGGTTTAGACCTTTCTCAGACCTCAGCTCTCAGCTCTCATCTCATCTCTTGTGTGTTTTATTTGATGCTCTGTGCCGTGTGTGGAGTTCTGCCTCTTGAGTTTTTCTTACAATTGCTGCTGGGTCTCTGTCTTGGTCTTGGTCTGGGTCTTGGTCTCCGTCCTGATTGAGGCCGCCATTATTCAAGGAGCCAAACGCTGCCCTCTCTTTCTTTCGCTCGTTCTGTCTGAGTCGCATCTTTTTGTCGCGTATCTTTGCCTTGAAATCTCCACAGTTCATGTCAAATTTCTTGTGTTTTTATACATCATTCCCTTTGGCTGCGGCTTCGGCTTCTGCTTCAGATTCTTGCTGCTTTCCTTGTAAGTATGTAAATGCGGACAGACTGCAGCTGCATTTTGCATGTCCCAGCCCCAGCCCCAGCCCCAGCCCCAGCCCCAGCCCCTGCCCCTGCCCCATCCTCTGGCTAGCTTTGAGTGATTGTCAGAGGTTTATCTTTTGATGGGGCATAGCTTCTGTTGCCACAGATCTGTTCGTATATCTCTGTATCCGTGGCAGTGTAGCCGAGTATCCGAGTATCCGAGGCTTGTTAATTAAGTTTCAAGCAGGTTCCGTCTGGGCGTTGCTCGAAACTCAATTTTTAGCACCTATTGACATGCAAAGGACCCGCATGCCACACACTCTCACTGAAAGCGAGAGAGACAGAGACAAAGACAACGAGGGAGAGTAAAAT